GTCACCTCTCCAGCCACCCAGTCCACGCTCCATATTTGGTCTGGACGGGGACTCGAACAGGCGACCCTCTGGTTCCCAACACAATTCCCTATGTACTGAGCTACTAATATGACATATTATATTGCTGCATTATGGACCCAAGCAGAAGCATGTACAAATTCAACAACAAAGGACTGAGAACTGACCCCAGAGGGACTCCATATGGAATGCCAGCCTCATCAGATTTACAATTACAGATAGACACAGAGAACAGTCTTCCTAAGAGATATGAAGAAAACCACTTTACACATAAGTGATCTGAAATCCCAATACCTAGTATGCACCTTGGGGTTATATCAAGACCTTTAGAAATAACTAGGTCAAGAGTGTGACCTTGATTATGTGTGGGCGATAAAGAGATGTGAACACAGTAAACACAGAGGCTCCATGTTCTGAACCAGCATGAACCAAGATGGCAACACTCTTTATTAATTTTCACACTGTCATGAAAGTGCATTACCGCTTCACTCCTTCCCTTGTTTACTTTCCACATTAAAAGGCCAGCTTAAATTCCCCAGAGCATTTTGCTAAGAAGAAACTTAACAAAATAGCTTACAACAATCACAAATACATATTTCTAATTTCTAATCTCGGAGTCCGTGTTCATTTGAATTTCAATTAAGAATGAAAAAACAATTAAATGGAAAAATTATTTGTTACTTCATTATTTGTTTTTCAGTGTCCAACAAAAACTTATTTTTCAAATATTTCATTTAGTGCACAGGTCAAAAGTACAACACTTAAACTAATACTCCAGTATAACAGGAGATGTAAAAGGGTATCATAATCCTGAGTTTTATTCATTTTACTGTAGTATTTTTTCTTAATGATCTCAATGTTAACTAGTAAAATCTGGACTAGATTACCATGGAGAATCCAGAGACTCATTTAAACACAGTTTCTGATTTGTGAAACCTTTACTCTATTTGTGAAAATGCAAAACAGGGCGATTTCACTGCTTTTTTTCCATCCAGACCACATTAGACCAGGTCCAGATCACAAACCACTATACTTAGACCTGTCAATTCTGGACTAAATTAACATGGAGAATCCAGAGACTCATTAAAATACAGTTTCTGATTTGTGAAACCTTTACTCTGTTTGTGAAAATGGCAATGTTAATGATTTATCCATTAACACCAGGGCCCCCCAAGGGTGTGCTTAGTCCACTTCTCTTTATACTCTTCACACATGACTGCTCTCACTCCTTTCCATCAAATTACATCATTAAATTTGCTGACGACACGACAGTGCTCGGTCTCATTACTGACAGTGATGAGGACACATACAGGAGGGAGGTTGGTCAACTAGCAGCATGATGCAATAACCACAACCTGGTTCTTAACATAAAAAAGACAAAGGAAATAATAGTGGACTTCCGCAAAACTGGACAGCTCAGCCACTCTCCACTCTTCATTGGTAATGAGGAGGTGGAGAGGGTCTCAAGTTTTAGGTTCCTGGGTCTGACTGTGACGGAGGATCTGTCGTGGGGCAAACACATCACTTCAGCTATAGGGAAGGCCCAGGAACACCTCTTCTATCTGAGGAAGCTAAAAAGAGCAAAACTTCCCCAGAGGCTTATGGTAAACTTTTATCACTGTGCTGTAGAAAGTGTGCTTACTTATGGACTGTTAGTGTGGTTTTTCAGCTACACTAAGGCAGAACAGCAGGCTCTTCAAAAAGTGGTGAAATCAGCAGGGAGAATAGTTGGGACTCACCTCCCAGAGATCACCACTGTCTACACCTCCCGCTGCTTGCGCCGAGTGCGCAACATCATTCTGGACCAGTCACACCCAGCACATCACTTGTTCCATCTACTGCCCTCTGGGAGGAGATATAGGTCCATCTGCGCCAGGAACCACCAGACTGGCCCACAGCCTCTACCCCCATGCAGTCAGGCTGCTGAATGAACAACCTGCCCCCTAGGTCCCCCCTCCCAAACCCGGTCTCACACATAACACATCATCTTCCATACATCTACAATAATTGTGAACTGGACTTTGCATTGCTGCAGCACACCCACATCACACTTTTCTCTGCCCTTTTCTCTATAACAATGACAATAAACTATTGAATTGAATTGCCACAACCCAGCCTTTGTTATGAAATTTAAAGTTAAAGTAGAGGAGGCTGACAGGTTTTCCCACTTGCTGCTCGTGATTGTGGTTTGACCAGTCTATCTATAGTGGTTTGTGATCTGGACCTGGTCTAATGTGCTCTGGATGGAAAAAAAAGCAGTAAAATCAACCTTTTTTGCATTTTCACAAATAGAATGAGGGTTTCACAAATCAGAAACTGTGTTTTAATGAGTCTCTGGAGTCTCCATGTTAATCTAGTCCAGATTTGACTAGTCTAAGTATATTGTTGTTGCTTTTTGTATTACAGTAAAATGAATAAAACTCAGGATTATTATACCCTTTGACATCTCCTGTCATACTGGAGTATTAGTTTCGTAAGACTTTTTAATACAGAGCAAACAAGACCACAGCAAATAGGCAGAAATAGCAAGACTGAAAAGCAGTTTACCATGAGTAAGGACAATAAGAAAAATATGCTACAGTTAAAATGGTCAAAATATAGGACAATTGAACTCTACTGATCATTGTCAATTTATTTTCCCCATATTTGTTCAATTTTTCAGTTCATAAATTAGCTTTAAACTGACTGAATACTGCCATCTACAGGCGTTATGCGACATTTAAGGTGGATCGAGAAATTCCAATCGGAAGCTGTGAATCGGAAGCCAACTTCAGCCTTGTGACAAGATCACAGTAGATCTACCAGAGCCTTCGAGAGCAATGGCAATGTTACAGAGTCAAAGTTATGTTTTACATTGTGGCAACAAGCGCATAATCCTTGGGACTCCAAGGCAACCATAATAAACAACAGCCTACTATCAGTATCAGACAGTAAATTAAGTATGCGCTAGGCTGAATAACTTCCGGGGCACAGAAATGAGAGAGATTAAATATCAAAATCGGCATCGAGACCGTTTTTTAAATGTTCTACTTTTGACCTGCGCACTAAATGAAATATTTGAAAAAGAAGTCGAAATCTGTTTTTTGTTGGACATTGAAAAACAAATAATGAAATAACAAATCGTTTTTCATTTTATTGTTTTTTCATTCTTAGTTGAAATTCAAATGAACAACTGGTACACGGGGGCGGCACGGTGATGTGGTGGTTAGCACTGTCGCTTCACAGCAAGAAGGTTCCCCGTTCGATGCCGGGTGTGGGAGCCCTTCTGTGCTGAGTTTGCATGTTCTCCCCATGTCAGCGTGGGTTCTCTCCAGGCACTCCAGCTTCCTCCCACAGTCCAAAGACATGCAGATTGGGGATTAGGTTAATTGATAACTCTAAATTGTCTGTGTGAGTGTGAGCGTGCACGGTTGTCTGTCTCTATGTGTCAGTCCTGCGATAGTCTGGCGACCTGTTCGCCAGTGTTCCATGCTTTGACAGGCTGTGACACTGTATCCAGCTTTCCTGGACATGGAAAGAAGGCAGCATGGTCAACGTGGAAGTCGCTGCCAGAACTGACAGATGCACTACTGATGCTGGCAAGTGGACCAAAGGAGATCCCAGATGATGCAATGAGCATTACTGAGAGGTTTGTCAAACTTCTCATGCTAAACAGAGTCGGAGAAATACTGATTTGCAACATTAAACTTATGATGTGTGGTCGATATACATTTCTTGTTGTTCATATGTTTGAGAGACTTCATTAACTTTAAAAATTTTAACAAGAAAAAAGGAAAAAACAAAAAAGAAAACCTTTTAAATGGGGATAATTTTGCAAATGTAGATCTGTGTATATGTAATTTCCCTGGCAGGATCATGAGGTTTGCCATAAAATTCAATGAATTAACATTGCTTTCAGATGGAAAAAAAAAAACATCTTTGAGACTTTACAGAATAACCAGTATTCCTTAAAATAGCCTATATATACCCAAATCTGTCCAAAACAGAATAGAATGTGAACAACTATAAAACAAATGTACCAATGTTTAAGGTTCATCATTGCAAAATACATTTTTTTTTAATCAGAGTCAGCAAATCTTGACACCATTGCATTAGACGGATAGAAACTATGCCAAATTTTAAAATGAATGTCTCTAATCTCTTTGAAATACAGAATTTGAAGGGGCAAAGCTTTCTGCCATTCAGTGTCACATATTTGTGATGTTCCAGACATGGGCGTTGATATAGACAGTGCAGGCAGTGCTGTTTCACTGAGGCCCATGGGGTGACCCGTACAAGAAACTGGTTAAAGGCCTCGCTCTCTCTAGAGCAGAGAATGGGCCCTTGCAAGTGACTCAGTTTGCCACCTCAGAAATACACCTGTGTTCAAAGAAGAACTCATGTTAAACTACAAATGCTGTCATTTGCTATATATGCCCCCAAGAAGGCAAACCCATCATCAATGTTTCTTTTTTTCTTTTGTGAAATAGTCAGTAGCAATCTATAACAAAATTATATGTTCATTTTACAGAAACTTTAAAAACTATAAACTATTTAAAAAAAACCTAATGAATAATTTCTCATTTTACTTGGTATTTGTCATATACAGATTTTTAGTGATGATTGCAAGGTAATATGTTGATGTCGTCTAATGTCTGTCTGTATTTGATGCTGTTTTATGCTTTGAAAAGTCATGTACAAAATATATTTTCCATACAATGAGTGCCTGCTGATAGAATTTGGATAATTTGAGGTAGTTTGGTGATGTTGTAAGCGCATGACAATAAGAACTTGAAAATTTCTTAAAGATATAATGTGGGGAAAAAAATCCAATAAAGACTCAGGAGATTCTAACCACATTCCAAACATTTAATCTGAAAGGTGTTGATCATATCCTCAAAATCCAATAACTCAGTCCCGCCTTCTGCCCTCTGAGTGCACAGATAACTTTTTTTTTTTAATCATTTAGCATGATAGCTTCTCTTTGAGGCGTCACTTCCGTGTCCTCCCTAGCAAAGCAAGATGGCGGCCGTCGTAGAAAGAGTTGATGGATGTGTTGGGTCCTTGGAGTCTGACACGGTGTCACCGAGACAGCCCAGCCCTCCTCCGGACCAGCCGCACCAGAACAACCCGCTGTTAGGACTGCCCATTGTGGCCATCGAGACTATTCTCAATTTTCTGTCTTACGATGAAATCAGCCTGCTGCGCTCGGTAAGAACAAAAACAAGCCAAGTAGAAGGTGAACAAAGCTAATGCTAGTAACATGCACTTGTTATCTTTGGACACTATAAACGTAAAATCTCGGTAGAAACAATTGTGGACAGTATTTAAAGGCCCTGTTGAAAGTGTGTCCAGCCGTCTAATTGCAGCCATGGCCCGCAGTGCTCATTGCGCTGTTGTTAGCTAACGTTAATGAGCAGGACATCCCTGCTAAGCAGACCCAAGAGTAACGTTATACGATACATCGCGAACACAGGAAGAGATCAGTGTTAATTAGAGAAAGGATTAACCGAGCTGTTAAACTCTGGATGGGTTTTACTCTTGTTAGATACAGTTCACACATTGACTGTCTCTATTAGATATGTAACGTTACTGTACTGAGATTATCCTGAAATCATTCAGTGGCCGGTTTACACAGTCGCTGTGCCTTTCACTTCCGCTCCTCTAACAGTGCACCCTCTTTATCCTGGTAACGTTACAGGCAGAGTTAAGAGGTTGTGTCAACGCTTCATACACGGTCACGTGACTTTTGTTGGCGCTTTTGGGTTCCCTTTTATATTTTTTTGCCATGCAAAATTTTCAGCCTTAGTTTGTGCCTCACATGTTATCCTTTTGTGGCGTGGGCAGATTAAAAGCAAATGGAGCCCTGGAAACAGACAGGTAATGGGCCCCATGTTGCTTTAGTCCCAGCTGGAGATGAGGATGTGCTATTAGACTTCATCCTGTCCTGCTACAGTAGATCCACGCTGACGCTCCTCATTACAGAAAATATAAAAACAGCTCCATAGCATTTGATACAAAATATTAAAAGAAAGCTCTGATGCAGTCTTATTTTCTTCACTCAGCACTATGTTTCTCTCAAACATGTTTTAAGTGTTTTACTAGTTTCAATTAGGGGTGGGCAATATATTGAATATTCTCGATGTATTGTGGCTTATTCCACGTGTAATGTATAAAATGATGATATCACAAACATCAAATATAAATGATCATGTTGGTTTTTTAAGCCACTGGCATCAGACTTGCTTTGGCATTTCAGTTCTCTAGCTCTCTCCTGCAACTCTCTCCCTCTCACAGACACACAAAGCAAGACTCATAAATATGATACACATGAACAGTGTTGGGTAAGGATTACTTTAAAAGTAATCAAAGTACGTTACTGCGTTACTTTTTTAAAAAGTAACCAGTTACTTTACTGCGTTACTCCCTGAGTAAAGTAACTCAGTTACTTTAAAAGTACTTCCAACGTTACTCCCTGAGAAAAGTAACTCAAGCACTTTTAAAGTACTTTTGAGTATTCTACATTTCCTATTGGGCAATGGACCACAGGGCGCTAAGCCTACATTTTTTTTGTCTCCAAAATTAAAGTTATGGACCACTTGCCCTTCACTGAGATCCAATTCTCCCATCACAGCCGTCACTTTGACCAGTAGAAACACAAAACGATCTGCTGTCGTAGACAACTGTATGACAACAACACCCCAGCATTTTTAATATTTCCTCTAGGGATGTTACCACACAGAGTAAAAGGGGGAAATGATGGTGTGAAACAGCAGAGGCACTTTGTCAACCCACTGAGTTAACGTTACTGTCATTAGTATCAAGCTAGCAAACAATGGTACATCCTCACGGTCGGACATGAAGTAATAACATTAACAAATAGCGGCGGGGCTTTTACTCACCGCAACTGCAGAGGCTCCCAGCTTCATTTGAAACAAACTACATTATAGACGGTCCGTTATTTATTAATCCCTCTGTGTGTTTATATATTTACTTTTTATCCGCTCCGTTGTCTTTGTAAAGTTAACATATCGCACCGTCATTTCAAACTCAACACTTGTTTCAAATTAAAAGCCCCTTATAACCTCGGCTGAGAGAATCCCTCCATTTTCTAAATAGACTTTTATTCTGAAACATTTGTCAGAACTTCCTGTGGAAGATACAGTAGCTTGATAGTTTACATATGGCGCTTCAAATGTAGCTCCTGCCATCTGCAACAACATGTTGGCTGGCACATGAACAGACACAGTTCTGGCAGTGAATCAAATAATAGTCAAAGTAATAAAAACAGGACAAGAATAACCCGATGACATCACACACGCCGTGAAAGACGACTTGGGATAATTGGTGAGTACCAGCGTGTAGCGTGTACCAGGCATAATGCAAGTCCTGAGTCTGAAATATGTCTGTCAGCGAGTCCTACTCCATCTATTTAGATTCCACCGTAGACAACGGCAGCATTTCTCCGACCACGTAGCGAGCCACAAGCTCCGTGGCTTCTTTCAGACTGACAGGTTTAACATCTCCGTTATTAGAACCAAACGACAGCCGTTGCTGTTTCGGAGCTGAAGGACCAGCGTTCTAAAAGTAACGGAAGTAACTGATGTCTTGTTTGAAAATGTACTTAAGTATTTGATTACTCAAACAGCAAACTAACGCGTTAGGTTACTCGTTAGTCATTTTTCGACCATGGAGCACCACTGCCACTTGATGATAATATTAATATATGAGCTGAAGAGCTGTTAGTTTGTTTCCAGCTTACAGTGAATAAACCACCACGTTAAAAGGTGCAGTGCCAACAACTTAACTTTATGCTAACTGCTAACATCTGACTGTTGACTGGAAGTATCAAGCTCACGGCAAAAACTTCAACACTTCCAGCCCAAGGCGAGCTGGGTGCAGTGGTTCCGCTTTGATTTATTCAATTATAACAATACTTTATTTAACATACATACAACATATTTAACAGTATTTTATTCAACTTTATTACAACAGTACTTTATTATAACCATGTTTTATTTAACTTAATTATGACAGTAGCTACTTTATTTAACTTTATTGTAACTAGTTCATTTAATAATTTTATATTTTAGTAGTCTGCAGTACTATGGGGGAGATTTCAAAATATCATGATATATATCATGCATTGTGTTAAAGCCTAAAAATATCACAACAATATTTTTAAGCCATATCGCCCAGCCCTAGTTTCACTGTATACTTACTGTGCTGACAAAAGTAATATGTATCAGTGGTACATCAGACAATCTCAGATGAGAGTTTAATTTCAAAGGATCAGGTTAAAAAGTGATAGGGACACCCCTACTTCTGAATCCTGAGACTATAAAGTCCCTTCAAACAGACTGTTGCTCAGGGGTCCCTGGCTCAGTGCCTGGTATGCTTGGGATTTTGCTTGAGAGACTGTTGCATTGATTTTTGAGTCATAGCAATGAGAGGGAGACGTGCATAATCTTCAACAGGTCTCCTCTTTTATCCAACAAGTGGTGTACACTATATTAGACTTTCAGCCAGTACTCTGATATTTGATCCAAACAAACTTTGTGGATGGAAATGGGTTAAACGTCATGTTCACTGTACACTGGTGGAAAGAGTTCTGCTGTGGGAGATGTCTTTAGGACCACAGAAAACTTTGTTAAAACAGCAGCCTCCCAAGTGTAATAAAAAAAATGTAAAGGTGTCAACTGTTAAAATGGTGATACTAGAGACTGGAGGTACTGTCCTCTATCCAAACTACTGGGTAAAAAAAAAAAAAAGAACTCCACCAGCTCCACAGGAGCTCTGCTGCTGGAAGCTGTAGTACTTGTGTTTCACCATGTAAATCAGGGGTAGGCAACCTGTGGCTCGGGAGCCACATGTGGCTCTTTAGCCCCTGTCCAGTGGCTCCTTGAGACTTTGAGAAAAGAATTCTATGGAAATTGATTCTATGAATCCAAATGTTGCTGAACCTCGATAGCAGTGGCTGGTTAGCTATGGATGCCAAATCCAAAAAAGTAAATTGAATAAAATAGAGAATGTAGTAGTGCGTGGACAGATTTGTTTGCTCTCACTGCCAGCTCTGCAAAATTTAAGTACCAAATAATCATAGATAGTGCCCTGCAGAGTGGCCACCTTGTGGTAAAACATATTAACAAATGCTTATTTAGACCATAAGTATAAGCTAATTTAGACATAATAGGCTATGTTACCTTGATTATAAAGCTCAAACATGTTTTGCAGCTCCACACAGATTTTTTCCAATTATTTTTGGTCAAAAATGGCTCTTTTAATGGCAAAAGTTGCAGACCCCTGATGTAAATACTCATGAAGCAGAGTACCTACTGTTTGCCTGTGTTGTCCATCTTCTCCAGGTGTGTAAACGCATGGACATGATCTGCCAGCGTGTCTTAAATCAGGGCTTCCTGAAGGTGGAACGTTACCACAGTCTGTGCCAGAGGCAAGTCAAAGCCCAGCTGCCCAGGTCAGTATTACAGCTAGGTTCCAAAATTCTATGAATATTCAAGGTGGAAAATTTCCATGGGAATTTATTGGAATAAAAAGAAAATAATTGTGTTATTTCCCCAGCCTGTATTTTCCCGGTCATATGCAGATAGAAACAATCTTTTGTCATATCATAAGCAGATATAATTGTAAACCCTTCTAACGCTGCCTTCCATTTACCTTGGAAGTCAGAGGTAAGACTGACATCACACCATGTTCCAGTACAACAAGTTGGAAAACCAAGATGGTGTTAGTAATACCAGTTCAAGCCAGGTTAGCTATTGTTACCAGTACCAGTTGATAACAATGCATTATGCAGTATTTTGCACATACAAACACTGCAGCAGTATGTCCACAGTTAGAGAGTGTGTACTGTGTGTATGACCAAAAAAAAAAAGTTTCCCTATTAAAAGGTACGATTTTTATATTGAAAAATTAATTGGGGGGGGGCACAAGGTCTGCAGTCAGCTGTGGGTCTCTTGACCCCCTGTGGTCAGTGATGGTATTACTGCGGGGTAAGTGGAAGATTTTTGAAATAAATGAGTGTATATAGACTTCCTCAATGTGTGACCAGCACCAATTTCTCAAAACTCAGGTTGACGACAGTTAAACAAGTTTTGTGCTGAGCTTACAGCTTGTCTGTATTGGCTGTGTTGAGAAAGCAGCAAAACAATAGCAGCTTCAGTCCTCTCTACACTGGATGTGTTCTGCCACAGCACTGCTGTGCATTTACAGCATAGACTGTACTGTAGCGTACAGCCTAGTACAACAGTGAAAATAAACAGTCATGAAGCCTGAAAGAATGCTTTGGGTCGCAGATATAAATGGAAAATAAAAGCTGATGTGTGGCCAGCATACACAGCTGTGCTGATTAAGACTAAATACCTGTTCAATTTGATATACATGAGACAGATGACTAAAAAAAAACCTAGCTGAGTCACCTCTTTAAACTCTTCATCCTCTTCAAACAGAAGTGAAGAACATTAACTGGCTGACTGCTGAGTTTATAATTCAGTTTAGTGCTGGGCGGTATGACCAAAAGTTTCTAACACGGGTTTTTTTTTTTTTTTTTTTTTTTTTTAATTTTGCTTTTTGCATGACTGGACTTTTATATAGGTTCACAGGGGCATCTTCTACTGTCAGGACTACATACAATACCTGTAAAAACATTTTAATGCTATCACATATATATGCACACACACACATATAATATATATGTGTGTGTGTGTGTGTGTGCGTATGTGTGTGCGCTGTGATTGCTGTTCCACTGGCTCTACTGACGGCATCGCATCTGACCACTGTAATCGCGGCAAACTAACGTGATGTCAATAACAGCGGCCCGGCAAACTAACGCTACGTCTGTTTTTTTGTAAAGCCTTAAAACTTCCAAAAATCGGACACAGCTCCACTCTTGTGCACATGTTCTTCTGATGCATCTCTGGTCTCTCTTTCTTCATCTTCCACCTCTCTTATCTGATCTTCTAAATGTTCTATAGCAACAGAGCCTCTTCCAGCTGTTCACAGACTGTTATGCTAACTGGCTCACTGGCAAGCTATACACAACATGCCGTTCCACAGTGTAATTCTGTAACTGTACAATTATTAACGGTCCAAATAGTTTATGTGTCACATGTAACAGTTTTCCCTGTTACAGAGAGTTAAGCCCCTTTTACACTGCCAGATTTTCGTCGAATGTTGGGCCGTTTTGCAGGCAAGCTGCGAGCGTTTAGACACACAGAGCCTGGGAGGGGCTGTTGATGACTTGTGGGAGGAGCGTTTGATGATGCCGCACGTGCGGGGCCACTGGTGGTGGACTAACTAGGAAACAGCTGATAGCAGGTATGAGCAGCTAGTAGCAAGAGGAGAACGCAAACCTGAAAGACACTGTAAAGATGAGCAACTTGGGAGACAAGGAATTGCGCGCCCTCCTTGCCCTTGCAAACGAAGAGGCCATTAACCGTCAAATGACAGGAACGGTGAGGGATGGGCCAACTTAAGAGGGAATCGCCGAAGGACTGACCAGCTGCAGCTTCCCTCGGAGTATGTCACTGTTTATGTCCAACGCTGAGCTACACATTCTGTTACTTGCTCACGCCCCCCACTGCCCTGAAAAAGGCACATTCTGTTATCACATTCATTTCGCTGCACTTCCCAATTTTGTTTTATACTGCCAATGCTGAAAAAAGACTGATTGGGCTTTCCTGCAAATTTGCACAATTCCTATTTAAAAAGGGCTTTTGTGTGGGTTATTATTGTTTTGTTCTTAAGTTCTAACCATTAGTAAGAAGGATATGCAGTTGATAGGGTTCCTTTCTCTGATTTGACAATAGCTTTTTATTACCATAGCGCTTTTTTCCCATTTACTGACCACTCTGGCAACTGTCTCAGCTATGCAGTGGTATGATAGTATATGAAAAATACATATCATGTGGAAAATCAGTACTGGTATTGTGAATGAACAGGTGTACCGCCCAGCACTAATTCAGATGCATTCAACAAGCTATGTGGGTTGAATGTGTCTTTCAAGGCTTATCACAAAGGGGTCCAATATGTGATACAGGTTCAGAACTAGGGATGCACCGAATATTCGGTAACCGAATATATTCGGCCGAATATTGCAAAAAAACACACATTCGGTATTCGGTAGAATAAGTTAAAAGCAAGGCTGAATAATAGCGGCGTGTTTTGATAACGCAATCAAACAGCGTGCTGTGACGGGCGGAATAAAATGTCGGCAGTGTGGCAATCCGTCCATAACGGCACTGGCATTTGCGACTAAAAATAGTTTTGAGCGAGCAAAGTAGGCTTAAACCATTCAGCACGCTGTGCGAGCAGCCTACAGATTTCAACCAGCAGCAGAAACGAAAGGCAAATCCCACCGATTGTGGGTTGAACGGGGGTCACAGACACAGACAGTAACGTTAATGTATTCCTGTCAAATACGGCGGCTATTGGCTTACCCGGCGACGGAGAAGTCGGTTCCAATAATATCCTCTTCTTAGTGTCATGACTGCCCAAAAGTACCTGAACAGCCGAGCCAGCCGACCACAGGTATGTGACGTGTCAGAGGAGAAACGAGCCTTTCACATTTCTGTCTTTCTGGCAGTAACAGCCCACAAACCTCACCACACTTTAGGGACCGTTCATTACTTATGAAGGGACTGTCAGGGGAGGAGGGTGGCTGGTTGATTTTTATTTTATTTATTTATTTTATTTTGATCCCCCCTATGTTAAGCACTTATTGATGCTGTTTTTGAAGTATGAATAAGTCAGTAAGTAATTTATTCCACTGAAATATCATTGATGTATTATAGAAATGTCATTTATCTTTTCATAAATGACAAAAGGCACATTTGCCTCATTTTTGCTGTGGTATCGTGATACTACTCAGAACCATGATATTTTCATTGGTATCACACAGTGGGTCCCAATTTTGGTACCGTGACAACACTAATCTGGAGGGGGTTCATCTGCAAAAACTAATGGAAAAACTAAACAATGATGTCCGGTATTCGGTACTCGGTATTCGGCCAAGTGTTTAATAATATTCGGCTTCGGCCACAAATTTTCATTTCGGTGCATCCCTATTCAGAACCAGTGGTATAGAGGAAGTTTGTCTGACTGACCGCTGCCTCAGCTGATGTCATAGTCAGCCTCACCTTAGCTCCAATCTGTGAGCTTTCTGATTACCCTACAGTGGCTTTGAACTCTTAGCTTGATTTGAGGCTCTACAGAAACCTTTATGACTATTTTAATTCTGCATGATTGAATTATATATAAATGAGATATTTGATTTCAGCTGCTTATTTACTATCCCAAAAACTGCACTTAACTGCTTTTAAAGTCTGTCTTAACAAACCCAGATTGCACCGAAATGATTGGTTCTGTTATTTAGAAGTGTGCATAGCAACAACAGCTTCAGCTCTCACAGAAAGTTTGTAAAGTCAGACTGCCTTTAGTCAGGCTGGCAATACATACATGCATCTCAGTTTTTGACCACATCTGATCAAAAAACTTGTTAGACTTTACAGCAGAACGTAAATGGAACCAGTAAAACAAAATTGAAGAGTCAACTACTTAACCAGCTGAGAATGTTTCGGGTACCCTCTTAATTCTCACATCTACTCATTAAAGAGAGAATCACAATTCCTCAAATTAGTTTACCCACCCAGTTAAAGCTGATAAGAAGCATGGGTTGTGACCCTCTTTTCATTAGTAGAACATGAACATGCCCTTCACTGTGATAAAGCTCCAGAAAAAAATTTAAATTGCCCAGAACCAAGGCTACAAGTAAGTTGTGATGCACAGGTATAAATGATGGGAAACATAACTTGTCATAAAAGTTCTCAGTTAGGGACGTAGGTCTTCACCTGTATGTTCACCACAATTTGTCTCCAGGCGAGAGTCAGAGAGGAGAAACCATTCACTGGCCCGTCACGCTGACATCCTGGCTGCTGTAGAGACACGCCTTTCTCTGCTCAACATGACCTTCATGAAATACGTCGACTCCAACCTCTGCTGCTTCATCCCTGGAAAGGTTAGCTCAGCTGCCTTTGAAACACAAAGCAGCAGCACTGGCAGTGCTTCATTGAAAGACTTCCTTTCAGTACAGAAGGAAGCTTTCATTTTATGCCATGCCACGATGTGATGTCTCAGTTATACTCACAGACATTCCACCCTGAGTTTCAGTCCTGTGTTAAAGATAATAATTCTGTCTCTATCCTATGAAGAAGATCTGATCTAAATTTTGATCTAAGGAATGTTTGTGTTTATATCCTCTCACCATGACCATTTCCTACTAATGTACGGTACTCAATTCTACAGTTGTTATATTTGTTACAAACAGAAATGTTGAACACACAACAATGCTATATCATTATAATGTTCTGTACTGGTGATAGCTGTGGCCAGAAACAATGTTTTTTTGAGTTGTGTGTCCATTCATCCATCTGTTTGTCTGTCAGTCCGTCCAGTTCTCGTGAATGCAGTATCTCAGGAATGCTTTGAGGGATTTTTTTCAAATTTGGCTCAAACCTCAATTTAGGCCCAATCCCAATTCCTATCTTAACCCTCAATCTTAATTTTCAAGCTCAACCCTCAATCTCACTAGGGCTATCTTGTGACTTTAAAATGGGACACCCCTCAAAGGCAAATACGTCTTAAGACTGTCGGGGGCAGCAATATGCCAAAATTCCGTCCAGTCTGTCAATTCAAAGAAGAAGAAATATATGTCATCAGTAGTCGTCGATAAAAAGACGTGGCGAGTTTTTTTTTTTTTTTTTCCCCAACACTTTATTTCAATTCTTGTACAAAACAAGCAGTGACAGACATGAACAGAACAAATATGCCAGGGTTAAGAGGAAAGAAAAAGAAATAAAATAACAAATAAATAAATAAAAAAGTTCAGCAGCTCAAACAATTAAATTGTTTACATATTTTCAGAGTCTTTATAGCTTTGGAGTTTGTGGAGTGCTGAATGGTTTCTAAGTATTGCTGCATTTCATTCATAAAAATTTTGAACAAGGATTTTCTGTTACAACATTTACTCTTATGAATATGGAATTTTGCTAAGATAATAAATAGATTAATGATATAGAATTGTTTTTGTTATGAAATGCTGACATCATAAAATCCAAACAGCAGATCTTTGTACAGTAATGAAAATACAACATAAATGTTGCAATGAATACAGGGTTCCCGTGGGTCCTTAAAATGTCTTAAATTAAAATTCGGGTAATTAAGGTCTTAAATTTACCGTGAATTTGCTGTAGGTATTAAATTTTCAGCCGGTGCGTTTAATGCCTATGGGAAAGCACAGTGGCCCACCGTAAAACATATAATAGTGTGTATTTGTGTGATTAATTTAGTATGGTGCCTATATGGTACGGTGTCTTAAATGAGTCTCCGCGATTAATAGCTGTTTTACGGTACGTCTGCTACAGACGCTGACGTCGGGCATCCGCATTTCGCGGATATCGAGGTGAGCGGTTGAAGATGCAGAGATGGGGAAATGTAAATTTAACGAGAAGTGGATGGAGGAGGACGTATTTAGAACAGTGTTGGGCAAGTTACATCCAAAATATAATACATTATATATTATTAGTTACTGTCATTTGAAAGTAATTAGTTACATTACAATATTACTATCTCTGAATTGTAATGCGTTACACTACTTTTGCATTACTTTTGAGTTACAAAATAGACGCAGAAATATATGACTAAGCATTTAAAATGCTAAAATGCAGATTGTTGTAGCTGATTATTTACATTCAGTGGAGGGTGATGTAACATAATGACTGTGAAGGCCCCTAAAGCTACTAACAATTTAATATAATAGGCACAGTAAAGGCTCATGGCGCAATACAATAAGTAACAATGACTGTTAGAATCATACAAGCAGACAAAGGATCAAAGTCTGTAAGTTATGATAGAGATGCTGCAAATATTTAAAGTCTTGGCCTATTCATATGAAACAAATTAGAGCTAGAGCCCACTATAACATAACCTATAGCCTTATGATATGACAAATACACAATCTCTTTTTCTTTTAGTTTCTTTTGTTTTATTCTCTTTTAATTCAAACATCACAAAGATGCCATGCACTGAATGGACATAACTTCTGCTTTATGAAAAATCAAAAAGTGCTTTTGGAGGACTAGACCTCAAGAAACATGGCTCAGTCATTTCAGTCCAACAAAAATTAACATGTAATTTAAACATAACCTACAACTGCTAATCAATAAAACACAGGCCAGAGAAACCAGGCAATTTGCCAAAAAAATGGCTAAAACGTAGGCTACCACAGAAAGGCTGGTAAAACTGCAGTCACTTATAGCTAGAACTCTAGCTAAAGCATATATTTCAATACTGAAAATAAAATAAAAGTGCATGGGCCTATTAGACAAATAGGAAATACAGCTCAGTCATTTCACTCCCAACTTCACAAAAAAATGTAAGATTGGATAAATAAATATACATAAAATTGAAAATAAAAAATGAATGCTTAACAGGAAACCTGTTGTTGCCTATACAACAGAGGTAGCATGCAGCCTAGAAGGCTGGTAAAGGAAACAGAACTATAAAGGCAGTTATGTCCTGGACATAGCCTACTTGTGGTTCTAGGGTGCGGTTGGGGGGACTAGCCTATTCCACCACCCACTTGACTGAAATATCTGTTGAAGCGCATCAGGAGAAGGTGCTGAAAGCGTCCATCACTAAGACGGTTGCGTTTTGGGGTGAGCACAAGATTCCCAAGACTGAAAAGTCTTTCTACTGGTGCACTGGATGGTGTTGGGGTGTTATAGCGGAGTGCAATTTTTTTAATCCTTGGAAACGTGCAGGCTTTCCATCACAGGGGTAGAACTGAGATAAGACATTACCTCTGTTTCCACTGACATGGGTGCATTAGCTGTGGCACTGGGCTGTACATCAAAAGAAAAGAAGTCAACCTCGCTGGAGGCAACAGCAGCAGGTTGAGGGGGATCGGGCATCAGGGCTGTAGGCTCTTCTGTTGTTAGGGAGCGGCACTCCGTTGTGAGGAGGAACTTGATGTGGTCTCTTCTGGCTTCTTCTTTTACCCAGCGCATCTTGAACTTTGGCAGCGAGACAGCAGCCAGAAGTGCATCCTTGTAATCAGTCGTCGCAGCAAATCGAGTTTTGATTGTTCCCACAATAACTTCAGGCAGCCCAGTGGTCATTTGTGAGAGGCCCTGTGTCATTACTAAGGTTTTGGCCATCAAAACTTCGAGTGTTGGTTGAAGTGTTCCAAAAAAGCAAGTGTCCTCACCCTGTAGAATGTCCAATGCAACTGTGAAAGGCTTCATAATGTAACAATATTCCTTGAGAAATTGGTATTCCCTGTCATTCATACATTTAATCTGAAGCTGTGTGCATAGGCTATTGATGTCAGTGAGGGGCATTTCTATGACACGGGCATAGGCGTTATAGAATGAGTTCCACCATGTTGCTGTGGGGACAATCAACTTTCTTTCACTGACCTCTTCCAGGCACTCTGATGCGATGGTGGAGCGGCTGGCCCTTGTCCACAGTGCTGAGCATTTAGCTGTAGCACTACGATACACAGCCCTTGATTCTGGATTAGATACCAGCCAATTAACAACCTCATTGTTTGCAATGAGATTAAGTGTATGGGCTGCACATCTATGGTGGGGAGGCAGTACACATTGTCCGTGCTGCGCATCATCGGCAGTAAGCAGCACACTATGAAGGTCTGTAAACTCCACCTCACCATCGCCCTCCTCCTCCTCCTCCTCCTCCAACTCCACTTGATGCTGCTGATGCTCCTTGAACGCCTTTACAAAGTTGCTCCCATTGTCCGTCACACTTGCAGTCACTTTATTGTAGGTCATTCCATATTGAGAGAAAATGTCTTCTAGCTCTGTTGCAATTGCGTCATACGTTTGTCGACCCCTAAATCTTTTACAAGCTATTGCAGCCTTCTATCGTGTCAAGGTATCTGCATCAATCCAGTGCACAGTGACCCCCATGAAACTTTTGTTGTTGGCACTCCATATGTCTGCTGTTGTTGACACATACTGCTGGGCTTCGAGTGTTTTCTTCAGCTCCTTCTCCATGACAGCATATGCCTTGTCCAAATCTTTGGCGAATGTTTTTCTGTCAGGCAGTACATGCTGAAAAATTAAGAAAATAGCTAGATGTTAAACTCATGCTGTGTTTAAATTGGTCAGACTATATTCGGATACCCGTTAAAAAAAAAAAAAAAAAAATGAACATGAGGTGCACAGATTCACTTCTCCTCAACAGCATGGACTCGCCATTTAGGTTGTTATTTAAAATAATAACAAGGTAGATGGCCGCATGGCCCACTCTCTATGACAACGTTAGCTTACCTTGTCATTGCTGGTGTTCACGGGGATTTTGCTGACAAGCTTTCTGAACGCTGGCGATTCTACCGTTGATAGGGAGTGCATGTCTTCCACAATATATTCTGCCACCAGTCTCCTCACTTCTCTGGCTTCAAGAACCATGGCAGACCGAGAGAAACTTAACTTTTGTTGCTTTGTCTGTCCCGTATGCTCGTCCTCTTTTTTCTTTCTCTTCTCCGCAGGTGCATCTCTCTCTCTCAGCTTAGTGTTAGCGTGGCACCGGTCCAGGTGTTTCTTTAAGTTACTCGTGCTATTTTTTGATGTCGAGAGTTCCCTCGGTGTCACACACAGATTGCATTTTACAATTATGTTTTTCTCCTTCTCTCTGAGGAACTGAAAATACTGGGGGAATGTCCATCGCGCAAATGTAGAGTCCAGCGTCGTGTCTGTTGTCATCTCAGCCTCAGCGAATTTCAGCAACAGGAAATAACTCTTACTTGCGGCTTTTTTTCCGTTGTCGGAATGTCTCGCGAGTCGCGGTGTTGGAGAATTCTTAAAAAAACAACAGCTAATCGGGTTAAAATGCATTGTAACACGCGTTACTTAGATTGTAACGGGTAAAATATTACCGAAAATTTATTAGTAATGCGTTATATTACTGCGTTACAGCAAATAGTAATAATTACTGTAA